ATTGTGTGCGCGTTGTGGGTGCGGTTGGAAGAGGAGGAGGGGAGGCCAAGTGATGACTTGGTCGAAAGAAATGAAAACTCTCACTTCGAAGTTGGCCTCGGTTGGTGCATCCCGACTACCTGGTTGGGGTCCTAAGGACAGTGAACATGTTTGGTTGGACATACATGCTGATCCGGCTTGGAACCGGCCCCAATGGCGTTTATGTTGTGAGTTCCTTTGTTCATCCAATCTTGCTTAGCCTCCCCATCTAATCACGATCTCACTTGTTAGGCATAATATGACTTCTACGGCAGCCAGCTGTTAGCACTCCGGAACGATGTCCGTCGGTCACTGAGGACTCAGTGGGCGTGCCACTGTTTGCTTACCTTTTCTTGTCTTTTGTATTGCGGCACAATAGCTGTGTTTTCTACCCCTAGCTAACGTGTAATGATGATAACGGAGCAAGCAACGCAGTGTGAAGATGAGAGAAACGTGGACTAAGCGCTGGTAAACCGGCAAGTAGACGTCTGTCACTGGTTGTTTCTCTGCATGAGTCACAAAAGAAAGCGATAGTTTGAGACGGTGTTCGTTGTAGATATCCATATAGGTCCGGACAGAGACCAGGGCAAGTAGCATGAATCCAACCCTCACACAAAGAGCACTGTACGGCCTTCGATTGGGGAGTGAGAACCTTACCACAGGAAACACATTTGGAAGCCACTGGGAAATGATAGAAGACGCAAACCAGCGGTAGCACGAAAAGATACTCGTCAACCGAGAGCCCTGCAGTACAGGACAACGCTATCCGCAGCGAGAGACCGGCACAAGGTCAAATTCAAGTTCAAGTTCAAGCGGGACTGGAACGATAGGATTATCCCGTGAGTGTTCCTTCTTCGGCGGGTCGTTGAACCAGGTGTTGGCGAACTTTGAAATACTGATGGACCTAAAACAAAGACCGCATCACACCCTGTCCAACCAATTAATGCCCACGTATCCTGCCCTAGCAGTCCCAGCCGGGTCGGTTACGTGAAGTAAGAAAGGGAAAAAGTAAACGCAGGAGGCAAAAGAGAAAGTGGTAAGAGCGAAGCAAGTGGAATACCAAGATATTTGAGTCAATAAAAAAGAACTGAAATGTGAAGGTGAGTCATATAGGAAAAAGGAAAGGTTTGCTGTTGCCACCCAAGAGCATCGAGCTGGCGCGCAAAACCCTTAACCGTAGGTTCCCTAACCACGTGATCTGGAAGCGAATTCCAGCGATCTATAATTTGGCGCGGTAGACGAGTTTCCGTCCAAATCCTATCAGACCGTGGTTTATGCAGTTTCAGTGGGTGACCGCGGAGACTAGGTAACGTAGCGGGACTAAAAAGCCCTGACAAGTCCGAGCCAATCTTACCCGTCAGAATACGATAAGTGAGAATCAGGTCCCCTCTTATCCTTCGGTAGTGCATGGAGTAAACACCCAAACTGTGCAAGCGTTCAGGATACGTCTGTCCCCGTAGACCCTGCGTTAACCGACTGCCAACACGTAGCACCCTCTCCAAGTCCATTTTCTCTCGGTTAAGACATGGTGAACAAGCCTGCATACAATATTCCAGGTGGGGTCGGACGAATGCCGAAAATAGCTTCACAAACAACTTGGCCGTTAAGATTCCGAAAGAGCGGCGGATAAACCACATCATACGAAACCCTCGACAAGCAGCCTTCTTCCAGTTGTCTCCAGAATGAAGTGCTGATGCGTGTACGACTCCTAAATCAACCTGCTGAGTGACAACAGGGAGTTCACCACCGCCGACAACATATCAGGTGGGATGATTTGCAGCTCCGTTTCGGAGAACAGAGCACTTCGCATTATTTATGGGCATCAACCATTAGGTGGACAATTCCCAGTGCCTATCCAAGGCACGCCGAATTGCCTCAGGACCCCCCAGGATATCCACAATATTTCAGAGCTTAAGGTCGTCAGCAAACATTAGTGATGAGACTCCTAGCTCTCCCTGCAATTTGTTTACATAGGTCGTGAACAACAATGGCCCCAATACCGAGCCCTGCGGGAAGCCACTAAGAACAGCTTTCCTGAGCGAAAGGCTACGCCCCACTCGTATGCATTGTTCCCTCCCCTCAAGGGAGGCAGACACTCATTGATGGGCGCGACCAGATATCCCGTAAGATCTCAACTTTAGTGAGAGCCGAAGATGTGGAACAGTGTCAAAAGCTTTCGAAAAATCTACGAATAACACGTCTACATCGTGGCCACTGTCTATCGCTTCGGCCCAGCTTTCACCAGCTGCAAGTAACTTAGTCTGACATGAAAATCCTTTGCGGAATCCATGTTGTGCGACACGGAGAATGTTGAATCGATTCAGGTGGTTCTCCACTGAATCCCTTATCATCTCGAACAACTTGACTACTACGCTTGTCAAACTGACAGGCCGGTAGTTCGCGGTTAGAGCGCTGTCACCGGCCTTAAAAATCGGAGAGATGATTGCCTCCTTCCATTCCGAAGGTAGGCTGCAGCTGTCCAGCGATATTAAAAATACGCAAGTGAGCGGACCACTCAGCTCAGTGGGCAGTTCATGCAACAGCTTCGGATGAATTGAATCAAGACCGGAAGCTTTAGAGGAATTGCTGCCTTGCAGTAGCTCGAAGACCTGAGTCTCCGGTATGCTAAATTCAGCTAAGCAAGAATCCTCTGGAACTCTTAAAACCAATTCAACCTGTGGTAAAGAGGTCTCCCGAGCAAAGACCGCAGTATACTGATCACTCAGTATACAAGCCTTGTCATAGTCAGTTTGCGCACGGGTCCCGTCTGCTCGCAATAAAGCTGGTATAGACAGTTTTGCCCCGCTGCGTCTTTTAACGTAAGCAAAAACTTCTTGGGATTAGCTGCGGCCGAGTCCGCTAAACCCTGCTCGTATCGGAGACGAGCAGTTCTGAGATGTTGCTTACATTTATTTCTATTCTCTCGATAACTATCATAGGTACTGGCTGATGGAGCTGCTTGGTAGGTTCGCCAGCATCTAGACCGTTTCTTGAGTAGGTACTTGCCTGTGGTATCTATCCATGGAGGCAGTGCCCTTAACCCACTTTTCGTAATGAGTGGAATATAGGGAGCGGAAACCTCCGTAAGGTATGCCTTAAATTTATCCCAGGCTAACTGGACAGAGTCAGCCATCGAGATCTCACAGTTCAGAACTGAAGCCTTAGTTCGCATTGCACTAAAGTCCGCCCGCCAAATATTCGGAAGTAATTCAACAGCGGTCTCTTGGTGCCTTGAAAGAGCACATTGAAAGGATATGCATGCGTGATCGCTGGACCCTAGAGGTGCACCGCATGAAACGTCAGTCACGAAGTCCAGGGACTTAGCGAAAACCAAATCCAAAGTAGATGGTATTTGGTTGTCCATATACCTAGTGGGAAAGTCAACGAACTGGTGCAAAGGCACTTGGAGAGTCAGTTCAAGGAAGTCTGCACCGAATGTTCCTAATGCCGAATTGCAAGAAAGATCGGCCCAACAGACTTCCGGGAGGTTGAAATCCCCTAGAACTAAACACTTATTCGCAGACTGAGTGCGAATAAAGTCAAGTATCCCCCTGGAGGAACTTCCAGGACTTCTGTATATCACTATAACTGTAAACTGGGTAGAGGAAGTGCACAAAACAGCCGATAGGGCTTCAACAGTCTGATCCGACGACTG